TCTAGGTCTTAAATGTCACAGCAAGAATTTGAACTCATTTCTAATTCCAAAAACCTGTGCCACTAGCCAGTACCTGGGATGCTACTCAGCCAAGTTGAAGGGAAAAGACAGCCTAATGACCACTGTGGTGGTGACAGTACTCACTTGGAGAGCCACTCGAGGAGGAGGGATCTCCTAACCAGTGAGCCACCAGGAGCCAGAACACTGGATTTTCCCACAGCATCTCTGAGTGGTCAGTTAAGGGCAATCGCTGCTCTAAACCACACCAGGCAGGTAACATGCATCTTAGAATATCATGTCCCTAAGCTAGAAGGCGGCACAAGATTCTGGGTGTTTCTTTGCATCCAGGGCCAGTCATGCAATGCGGGAGACAAGCTGGCAGGGGAAAAGAGGAGAGTGACACTCCATTCAGTCTATTTGAGAAACGCATCCCCTGCTTGGCACGCCATCCACGCAGGGTGGTTACCTCTGTCCTAGTCCACTCAGCAAGACCGCATCGTGGCTCCCTTCGCACATTTGGGACGGCAGTGACTGAGACCTACCTCAGATGCTGCAGGCTGCACTGCTTGTTTCTGAGGATCTCACACAGCATCGTCAGCATCATCTCATCCCACTGGACTTGGCCTTCCAGGGTCAGGTGAGTCAAGGTCTTCTTACCAATGAGTGCCAGACAGAAATCCCGGTAAGCATTGTCAGGGGCGACGTTTCTAATCCTAGGAAGAAACAGGAGGGATTCCATCTTGAGCGTTTAATCCTGTCATTTAGAGGCACATGGAAACAAAAAGCCGAGTTATGTTTCAGATCTAGAGACCATTATAAATTCTCACTTCAATTGTTGTCTCAACCTTTTACCGAAGGAAAGGGCAGTAGTAACGAGCCTTGTGTCATTTCAAACAAGTGTTGTTCCTTCTATGGCTTGTTGGGGAGAAAAGGCAATACGTCATCTTCCCTACGTTTTAAGAACAAGCACATGCATGAACACATGAGGACATCTCATAAGGACATGTCCTGCAGTAAATTTTAGAATCCCACTGCTACTGAGATAGGTTGACAAGAGACTCCTCCTTTATCTGCACTGATGGTAGGAAAACCACAAAGACGACACTTCCGGCTTGTGTAGGTAATTAGCTTTACCGAGTCTGCAAGGAGGAACAGAACAGTAACATGGCTAAGTCCTGTTTAGTCTGTTTATGTCTCCTTGAGCATTTCACAGCCCAATTTATGGAGTCCAGACTCTGCAGGCCTTTATTGGGCAAACTAAGAATTGTCTGGCTCAGATTTTAAGTCTCATGTCTTTATTACACTTTCCAGTTTCCTTCAGCCCCTGCCTATGCCTTCCTACACTCTTAAGAGAGACTCTAAGACAGTCCCCCAGCGACCCCCATCTGCTGGGGTTCACATCGTGTGAGCCTCTCTCCTTGGATGTGAGTGGGACCTATGACTTTCTTCTAACCAAAGAAAACAGGGAAAGGTGATGGGATGTGCATGGTCAGGTGGTCACATTGTAGACCATGGTAGCACCGTCTTGCTGGAGTTCCCCCCGACCCCTGCCCCGATCGGCTTAGAAGATACTGTGTTCTGAGATTCCCAGGGTGGGTGCCTCATGGAAGAGGTGGGGACCACCCTTGGCTTGACAGCCAGCAAAGATTCTATCCAACAGCCATGTGAGCTTGGAGGCAGAGCCTTGCCCAGTCGAGCTTTCAGAGGA